TTGACTTGTACACTCAGGCTCTGCAATCAGATCACCGAGGGAGGCCATCAGGCTCCGAGCAAAGGTTTGTAGGCATTCAGGGTTCAGGATTTGGGGTTTAAGTTTTCGGGCGCCATTAGGGGTGTTGTGAGCTCGTTGTCAATGGCCGCCAGGTGAGTGATCCATTCGATGGTTCACCGACGTTGTGGAGCCTTGCCTAAGCGCTAAGCAGCATGTTGGACACACAGTGATCCCTCTTTGATAATATGAAGAACAACCCGAATTTCCATTTCAGTCTCCATTTTTGTTTCCACTTGATTCTCCAGGCTTGGGCCCTCTTTTCGTGCATAAATGAACGTTGGTGAGACAAGGAGTCCAGGCAGAGCTTTCTGGGACCATGCAGCTGCCATGCCTCTTGGAGTGGGCTAGAAATGGGCAGTGGGTCATTGTCACAGGGTTTAGGGTTAGAGTGGGCAGTGGGTCATTGTCCCTTTTGCTGCCCTAGACCAATGCTGTGAATAAAGCTGTTGCAGCTCTTCTGAGAGTCAAGCGAGGCATTGCAGGTTGGACAGTCTATATACCCATTATCCCTAAACCGTCTAAACCTTATTATTCACTATACAGACCCATTATATACATACCCATTATGGTAGCTTTCCATCCCTAAACCCTATAAACCTTATTATTCGCTGTACATACCCATTATGGTAACTTTCCTGTTTTACAGAATTCCATGCGCAGAAAGCCAAGGCTGCTGCCTGCCGACGAGCAGCAGCCTGTTGCTCCAGAAGAGGAGCAGGATGAGGCGTGCTGAACATTTGGGGACAGGGGGTTATACAGGGGTCTACATCACGTAGGAATATAGGTGGTATATATATATATATGCAACTTAGGGCTACATGGGAATTATAGCAGTATCAGACTGGACTTGTGGGAGAGTAGACGTTCTCCAGCCTAGCTGCCGTTTGCTGCATGTCTGCCTGCCTCCGGTCTTAGACTCAGGATGCAGTGATCCGTCAAGCTCTCGAAGAGATTCCTGGTGCCTTCGCTGCAGCTCAGAGAGGTGAAGCGTAATGAATGTAACCTGGAGTCCATGAACGTGTTTCAATCCCCTGTAAAATGACGAGGAAGATAAAACGATAGCGTTAACATGTTGGGTCATGGCTGAGTGCTGCTCATACAAGGCGGATCACGGCCATTTTGTGGCGACTTGCAGCAGTAGAACGATGCAAAAACCACAATCAACGCGATGAAGTTGATTCACGTAGCTTGGGCTTGGCAAGCCAGCCCAAGGTTACTCAGCCAAGCACTGAAAGCAGGAAGCTAGCCCTAGAAAGCTCTTAGCTACTGTTCACGAAGCGTTCTCTCAACTATTGAAATGCTACTCCCTGCTTTAGTTTGCTAGTTCAAAGATGTTCAGGGATAGAGAATTTGGCAGGGGTTTACTTTGCAACAGGGCACTGAGACTGGGGTCTGTAGTGCGTGTGTTTCTTTGTGTGTGATCGCCATGTGCATTTCCGGTGTTGTTGTTTTGGCAGCTGGGTGGATGCCGGAGGGAGCTTCAAGAATCTTCGGCTAACTGTGCTGGAAGTGTTTATCCGGCAAGTATGACCGTGCAAGAACAACAACAGGTTGGTGTCCGCTGTGATGCGTCGATATGTGCAGCCTCGGTTTTGGCTTGTAGCTTCATCGTCACTGTAGGAGCAAATTTGTTCGTTCGACGTATGGTTACGCCTTGTGGTAGTTTTGCACACAGCAGAACAGGTCTCACGAGTGGTGCCATGTTGTCATTTCAGATGTGGTCCCAAGGAACTCTTGTGCTTCCCTCGGCAGCTTTTGAATGCACCTTGGCTCCTGTCAGCCTGACAAAGTGTCAAGCGCTTCTGTTTTCATGTTGTGGCTTATCCCTGCAGATTACACTGCTGGCTGCGTTTCAACCACATCCAGTGACTGCTCTGCAAAATCAGGTGCTTCAGACGTACCTCTGGCAGCCTTCGACGGGACGAGCTGGACAGTTACAGACTTCCTCAAGGGCTTTATGCTAGTGCATGCGCATGCTGCTGCCTTTTCAAGGTGGCTGATCTCGCTTTCAGGGCTAAGGCACCAACATTGCCAATGCAAGAACAATAATTACAACATCTCAGTGGCTCGCGTTCAGGGGCTGGGGTCCTGGTTGGCCATCCACATGTACCGAAGACCCGGGCCATGTGTTAGCATCATGAAGCTTGCTTTTTGATACTATGCACCAACTCTTGCTCTCTGTTGAGTCAGAGGCAAGAAGCAAGGATTAGAGACAAACATTGAGAAGTGCAACGCAATCCAACCACTAGGGGGCGCAGGCCGTAACCCACAGATGCTGAGGCCAAGTACGGCAAACGCTTCAAACTTCAAACTAGTGTGGCTTCAACTATCAGGCTCGCCCGTAGCAAACATCGATGCCTTTACCGTGCTCAAAGATGTGATGGACCAAAGGGGGAAAACCAACATTGTGAAGCTCCATACTGAGTAGACTGCAGGAAGCTCAACGAAGCTCTACTGCACTAGTGGTAGCAAGTCATTAGTAATAATGAATAACTAGAATGACAAACCTCATAGGATCGGTATTGACATGAGCCTCATGGGTCCCCCCATCTCACCTCCAGGGCTTTCGCAGCTGTAAACATCAAAAGGTAAATTTGGCTTTGTGACAAAGTAGTGTTTGTACCTGTTTGGTGGATATCAGGGGCATCTTCTGACTTGGCAAGGTAGAAACCTCAGGGAGTTCCAAACCCAGCCAGGACATGCCCTCGATGCGGACAGAAGCCGAAGCGTGAGGATCCACTCTCATGCTCTAATCAAACAGCACAAGTTCGGGTTTAGGGTTTCGGGTTAGGGTTTAGCGTTCAGGTTTGGGGTCGTAAGCCATAACAATACTAACAAGAAGAGTAGTGATGTCAAGAAGAAATGGCTTCTTGCTGGTCCGTGGACGCATGTGCTTGTGGCCTCTCGTATTTGGAGAGGGCAGCATCCTTGTAAACAGGAGGAGCTACAGTCAGCGGAGCGGTTGCTGGGCAGACTGGCAGAGCGAACGCTACCTGGCAAAGAAGTTCAAAGTTGTATATACGCTTCCCATCGCTTCGCACCGAGATCCCGGAAGCAGCTTTTCACTAGGAATTCTTGTGGGAGATTTGCTGGCTGCAGGTTCTTCTCCCCATCCATGACACCTGCACTGGGTTCGGTGCAGGGTCGTCTGAAGGGTTCCGGACAAAGCCTGAAGATGGTCAGTGGCCCGGACGCTGTGCGCATCCCAACCCATGCATTGTACGAGTAAAGGTGAAACGCAGCTTCATCCGGCGTGCGTTAGAGCTGGCTACCACTGTCACACTGGTGCTTGGCCCGCAACACTGGGCTGCTCCTTGCATGCATTGGGTGCAGAAGATTGCACGATCTGTTTAACTGTTTGACCTCTAGCCGCTGCTAGCAGGCGCTATCCTGCAGGTCCACTGGGCTCGCTTGCTTGTCGTAGACCTCTACATCTCACGTCTTAGTGCTGGCCCCAGTGGCGTGAAAGAGGAAGAGCTTGCCATGACCTCGAAGTGTGGGCGATCCCTTGCCCCAGGCTATGCCCCGCTCGGAGCGCGCCGGGCTGACATTGCAGCAGCCCTTCTCTCGGGGTTGCAGGAAACCTTCGCAAGCAAGTGTTTACAGTTGCCCTGCGGAGCACGGCAGCATCAGTTTGTTGTTCAGGAGCTTTGGGATTGGCTTGCATCTTTGCATCTGGCACATGACCCGAGCTGCTTTCTCCTGACACGTGTGCAAGAAGCGCCTCCTGACCTGCTTTGGCATCCACTTAGCTCAGTGAGTGTGTTTCCAGAGCATGAAGGAGTTTAGAGCAGCTGCGTAGCTTGATCCAGCTCAGCGTTGCAGAATCCAAGGCTACGCCTGGTAGGCAAGGGTGGTAGTTCTGATGATATGCTGATGCTGCTATTGCAAACTCACTCATTGATGCTTTCACTTCGCGTGCATCCCTTTTCAGGGGCTGGCTCGCCGGTGCCCCTTCCATCGGAGATCCAGGGCCCGGCGAGGCGGTGCCGCGGCTCACAATGGCGCGGCGCATGAAGAGCGAGCTACTCGCAACTCTTCGCACCTCAGGTTGAAGGGCCTCGTAGAGGCTTGTGAGAAGCAGGCCAAACCTTGAAGAAACATTTGGACTCAGAAGGCCAGTTGTTGCGGCTTTTGCAGGTTGACATCCTCCCCCTCCGACCGCTGATCATCGATGGCAGCGCCCCAGTGGCAAAAAGATGTGGTGCTCGGTAACTGGGTAAGGCGCCGGCTCAAAGAGGAGTCAACAAGATGACTGCACGTGCTTGCCTATCAGGTGTCTCCTTTCAGTGATGACAGGCTTCTTGTGACATCTGCTGAAGTAGCCAGGGATGGTGGTTGAGCAGTTAGTTGTTGTAGTTTCACTGACTTGAACGTTTGGCAATGTGCCTGCATAAAGTTCTCACTAGGTAATAGCCTTGAACTGGCGGCCCAAGAGTTGAGCTGGCAGCCGGCCAAAGATACGCCATAGGCCTGCCTGCAAGATTTCGCCAAAAAGTTGGGCTTAATCGTGTGAAGTCCTTGCTGCGCCCAGGCACAGGTTGGGTACAACTCTGTGTAGCTTTTTGGGCGCGAGCGTTGCATGGATCAAGCAGATGCCTGCCTAGGCCAAACACATCCAAAAACTGCAGCTGATGAAAACATACGGCCAAACAACGCGGCCTGCGAAAAGTTTGGCATCTTCATCCAGCAAACAATTTTTTCACACTTGAGCATGACAACTCGTCCTTTGTTTTTTTTGACCTTATGTCCATGGCTTCCCTCGTACAAGCTTCTGCGCAAGATGACCTTCGCAGAAGCCCTGTCAATGCGCTCCGTCTCCCCGGCGTGAGGCGTGCAGGAAAAAACTGAAACTTGGAACCGCGTAGGGATTCCTTTGTTGGAAGTCTGGTCTGCGGGGTTTGCTGGAACTGGCATGTGAAGCATTTCTGGAGGTTGTGATGCCACAAAACACCGTCCGGCCCTCTGATCCTGAATGGATGGTGGCAAGGTTTCTGGAAGTCATGGTTGCAAGTTTGATTGCCTGAGGATTGGGACACAAACCCTGACGTGGAGAATGCTGTATGGCAGGCCATGCCTGCCCTTTCATACGCAGACATGATTTTGAATGTTCCAGGTCACTCAGAGACTTGCGCCGGCCGTCTAGCTGCCGAGATTAAGCCTGCATGCATGAGACGTCCCCAACGCCTCAGATGGCAGTGCTATGTGGCCAGGTCACGCGTTTAGAAGTAGGATCCTTCATGTCACAAGTACGCTTGTGGGGAAGCTAGCACGCCCATATGGGAGTTGGTGAGGTGTACTGTGTTGCAATTTGCTGCAGGTTGTCCTGGCAGCTGATGCAAACAAATGATTATCGCGAATATTTTGAAGTGTTCTTGGCTCTGACATGGCAGATGGCCAAGAAGATGTACGGGTTCATGAAGAGAACGTGGACTACGGTACAGCTCCCACTTTTTGGGATGCTTGTTGCTGACACGCAATGGAAGCAAGTGACATGTCATAAGGCGCTTGCAGAGCTCCGCAAGGATGAAAAAGTGGTTTCCCCGGTTCAGAAAGCAGCACATGAGCTCCTTGGGAGGGGGCTTTGTTCAGTGCGCATTTAGCTGAGTTTGCTTAGAAGGCTCGGATGGGGAGGGATTTGCAGTGGAGAGCACTCGCGTCAGCAGCTCCATAAATGCAAGGCATTCGGCGCAGGGCGCAGGGGAGCATTGTTGGTTGCTCTTCACTCGCTAAGCATTCTGCCTTCCGCAACATTTGATGGTATGCCTCAAACAGCAGCCATGCCGAATTACGCTCTCGTTTCGGCAGTGCAACTCAAATTCACGTTGCTGGTCATACTTCTTGTCGAATGATTGGCTGAGCCGCAGATGTTATACAGATCATAAACCACTTAGGCGCCTTCCAGGCCAGAGGCGCGCTGAGCTAGAGCCATCGCAGAATTCCATGCTGGTAGACATTGCAATGCCCGTTGCGCGGTGACATTCACTGGGTGTTGAGTGATTGGTCTCTTCCTCGCGGTTCGACTGCATGCCAACAAGTGCCAGGATCGTCGCACCCACTTCGTCAGGGTACCGCACCAAGTTTTGGGTTGTTATTGAAGAGGGTCTGACTAAAGGGGGTTGGCAACGTGAAGCACTTGTACCGTGAATGATGCAGCAGAGGCATGGATATCCGACACCTTGTGGAGACTATACCAAGCTGGTGACAGCCCCGTCCTATGTGTCTTCCTTGTGCGCGGTGCGTCCATGGTTCGTGTGGGTTTGACTAAAGCTGGAAGCCTGTGCTGAGACTGGTCAGCGGAGCCTGCCAGCATGGGTATTGATCCCCACGAGGCGGGGTGGAAGCCGATGGAAGGATCTCGCAAAAGTGTTCAACAAATTGTCTGTTTGGCTCGGGCACTATCTGGATGCAGCATGCTGCTGGTCTGCAAACGCATGCGTAAGGCGGAAGACGTGTTCGGCAGAGCTGGAGGCTGAGAAAGTCCGAAGACTCGTCAGCTTGCCTTCGAAACGCTATTATAATATACCCAAAGCCATATTCCCTCCATAACCGCAATACCCCAATATACTATAGTGGTTTCCATTTTCTCTTCCATTATCCGAATAATACCCCAATATAACCCTAATATATACCCCAATATATATATATATACCCTATGATCCCTATAGTTTCCATTTTCTTTTCCACTATCCTAATATTACCCCGATGTACTATAGCCTAAACCCTAAGCCCTGCACCATATTCCCTCTAGAGCCCAAATATACTATAGTAGATTCCATTTGTACCTTTTGAGTTGGGTCTGCTCCTTTGAGGGGTTTGTTTAATGCCGTGGCTTAATGACGGTAAAGAGCGCCAGCAGTTTTGCTTTCGGTATGTATGCACAATATGTGCCATAGTCTGAAGGGGTTTTAAGAGGGTTATATAGGGGATTATATAGTGGAACATTATTGGGGTTATTAAAAGGGATACTCGGAGTTTAGACTGTAGCTCATATGTTTCTACCTGCTAGCATATGCTGGCCGATTTACCCGATTTACATGAACAGGCGTTCTGGCAGAAGGAGCGGCCGTCTAGGAGAAGTTGACCCATCATGGATGTGATCTTAACAGGAGTGGGGACCCTGCATAAGGGAACTCCTGCAGTCCATTCATGACCAAGACCCATGGTCATTTAAGCTCACGAAATGCTTTTTCAGACTAAGGTCACTCCTTTGATTTACAGCGGGTCACCACGTGGTTTTGTCCAGACGATCCTGTTGATTCTGATGCGGTGGACACATTACGAAAGATGATCATGGTTTCCATTTTCTTTTCCATTATCCCAATATTGCCCCAAGATAAACCCTAAACCCTATATAACCCCATTATAGTAGTTTCCATTTTATTTTCCATTATCCCTACATGAGGATTCTGAAGCGGCAGATACACCTGCATGAAGAACTTTCATTTTTGAATCTGCATCTTGAATTTTGCACGTAACGTGGTACAGCGTAGTACAAGACATGCTACGAAGGTCCTTTCAAGACCTCGCGTGCTTCCGGATGAGGTGCCTCCGGCCAGGGTGTTCCGAGCATGAACAAACAACATGAAATGTGTAGTTCCCAAGACTATGGGCCCCTTCTGGTTATAGGTTGTATTCCGGCACCTTCTAGCGGTACCAAAATGGGACCCTAATTTTGGGAACTACCCAAATCTTGAAAGGCAGGAGGGCGATTACCAGTGCCCCCTCGACCGTGGCACGCCCGGCTCTCAGTTCAGGCAGACTTTTGCTTTGAGTCAGCATGAGTTCCCTGAGGTGGTGACACAGGTCGTCAAGGTTTGGAGTTGCAAGTGCTTGATGGTTTATGAAACAGGGATAACACAACTCTGCAGGAGACCTTTGCGGAGCTGTCCGAGGCAGATGAAGCAGTGGAGATGACTAGCAACAATGGCGGAGCAACACAGAATACAGTATCCCATCCCAATATTACCCCAATATAAACCCTAAACCCTATATAGCCCCATATAGTAGTTTCCATTTTATTTTCCATTATCCCTACATGAATATGAGAGAGCTTGGGGGGCCCTGCGACCGACTGCAGCAGGCCAGAGTCGTGGACGCATCCAGCGACAAGAAGAAGAAACGAGCCTTGGGACAACAGGCTTATATTGGGAATTATAGCTACTATAGTATATTGGGAGTAAAATTGGGATAATGGAAAAGAACATGGAAACTACTATAATATATTGGAGATATATTGGGAATAATGGAAAAATGGAAAGAATATCAACCTCTATCCCCTGGACTTGCTTGACCGGTGCTAGATTAAAGGCACAACAGTGCCGGGTCTAACAAATCTGCAGTAGTGGTCTGGTTATGCAAGGGATTGTTTTCCGCTGACAATGCCAGCACTGTGGAAGCGATGTTTGTCGGCCAGATGTGAGATCCACACGCAAGGGATGCTTGCAGTCTTCCGTTCTGGGCCGACAGCGAGTTGAGACTAACAGCGATTTGGATAACCAGTCGCACCACCTAGCAGAAGCTAAGCTGTCACGACTGGGAGAGGATGCGACGTCGTTTGGCAAGTGCATGGTGATGGGATCAGCAGTTGCCGCACTCTAGCTTAGGACCTGCCAAGCCAAAGCCAGCCAAAGGCTTCGGAGCAGGGCAGCATCAGTTATTCTTCTGTTAGCTACACGTTAAATGGATCAGCTGAGGATGGTCGTCCACCATGTCCAATTGTTTTTTTGATTCGGCACCTCACCTTGGGTGGCAGCTCAGTAGTTTTGCAGAGGTTGGTTACAAGCAGTGCAGTTAGTAGAGGCCGAACTGGAGAGTGGATATTAATATTGCAGGCTTCGGAACTTGAACATGCCTCGTGGCGGTTGATATATCACTTCACTACATGGGTGGGATTGCCATGCTTTAGTCTTTGACTGGATTTCGTACGTTTGTTAGTGCCGTGGAAAACGGTGCCCGCCTGGCAGGCAGATCTGACACCGCGCGGACTTGTGCAGAGCTTGGAGGGCGGCGGTCAGCGTTGAATCCGACTTTGTGAGACACTTCAGGTTTTTACTGCTTGCTCAAAGCGTAGTCTCTACCAAAGTGAGAGTACAAGGTCTGGCTGAGGTTCAAGTGCACAGGAGTCCCATTGCCTACCGAAGCTGGTGATAAGCAAGAATAGCACGCTTGCTTGGGCTTATCCTGACGTCGAGCTGAGACGCTACTTCGCACGACTATGCCAAAGTCGCATCCTCGGACAGAGTCAGGCAGCACGTGGCTTTGGGGAATAATGTTCTGTCAGCTTCGTTGTCCTGTAGCTTCCGGTGTGCAAGGTCGCTGACTCCGACATACCGTTCTGGGCGAGGAAGAATCTTGGCATGAATGCTTCTCCGGTCATTGCGTGAGCAAATGGATGCTGGCAGCATGAACTCTGGCGTTTGCAAATGCTGAGGATGTGGGACCGTGATCAGGAAGCCGCTCCTCCCAAAACTTGGCAAGGAGCCAATGCCGTTGTCAATCCCAACTTAGGTTGTGCAAGTAGCGAGGATGCGGGTGTGCTCTGCTTGCCTGTGAGGAGACGACCAGGGCAAAGAATCTGGAGGTAAAGGCAAAGACAGAGGCAGAGACAAGGGGAAGGAAAAAGGAGGTGAAAAAGGCAAGGAGAAAGGCAAGGGGAAGGGAAAGGGCAAGGAGAAAGCTCTGGAGAGAACTAGAAGTCAAGGCCAGGTCTTCGTGCAGACATGTTTGTGGCATGTCTTATGTCTTGCTTTCGGCTGACTTTGGAGTCGTACATCTACATATCCTCAGCTGACGTGGGCCTTCAGAGGCGGCTCTTCTTTCCGGACCAACTCCAGGCGCGTTCAGGTTTAGATGGTTCAGTGTTCCTGGAGCAGGGATGGGTCTGCTGTCGAGGTCAAGAAGCCGAGAGGAGAGGGGAGGCCACTCGCGGGATGGATGTGATTCATGTTTGGTCAGACTGTGCGAGTGACAGGCAAGATGGTGCCGAATCGTAGTCGCTCCTGGGGTGGTCGGGCAAACAGCCGACCTCGCAACTTTCAGCTGCAAGAGCATGAGCCAGGTAGAGCAGACAATGCCCTTGCATTGGCTCAGGGCTCCTTTGAGCATTGCCCAGGGTATGACATCTAAGGCAGATATCCTGGGAGAATGACCTACTTCGATGCAGGCCCCGGTCTGCCTTACAGTGCATTTCTCAACCTGCCGAAGTCAAGTGCACATGTTCGGATCCCAAAGGTATCATGGCAGTCAGACAGTGTAAGGATTGTGCATGGAATTCGTACCGTGAAGGCAGGCGACGCCCGTCTAGCAGAAGTAGGCGACGCGACAGAAACAGAGGCCTCGGGAGTTGCTTGGAACTTGATGAAGCGTCTTCAGATGTTTGCAGACCAAATCCATGCTATCAGATTCAAGTCACGCGCCAGGAGGTCGGCGAAGAAGATCATCACAGAGGTTCCGGCGGGCGCAGTCTGCTGGTCGAACAGTGCGGGAAGGCGCTGAATACCTGTCATTGCACTGAAGTCGTGTTAAGTTTGGCTGACTTTCTTCATGTTGCTACCTTTGATTTGCTCAGATGCTCGCCGCACAAATACCCCAGAGGGTAGACGGAGCCGAAGCGCCAAGCGAGGCCGAATCCGTCAAAAAGTGTTGATGGGTATTTCAGTACATCCCTTTCTCAGGGAAGGAGTGTCGTTGGGCTCATAGAAAGCAGTTGTATTTGATGAAGGGCTCCCACTGTGCAGGCCCTCGAACTCCTTTCAGCCACAGCCTCAGAAGACTCGAGGGAGTTCATGAACAAAGCTGCCAGGGTGCAGTGTGAAGCCTTAATGCATCTCTGCCCTACATTTGACGATATCACGCACCACCGCCTCGGCTTGGGTTGAGCGTGTCAGCGCAGACCTGTGAAAAGTTACCTGCTGAAGACACTAACGCCACACGGCACAAGAAGGTGCCACCTATTCGACCATTCAACCAGCCGTTGTCAGGCTTTAGGTGTGCCCAAGCTACCAGACCGTGAGCAATGTCCGGACATCTAAAATTTGGCATGGCGCGATTGCATCCTAGCACAAAGCCGCGGACATTAAACCACATCCCAGCAACCCTGCAATCTTAACCGCTCATTGTTGAAACCTGTATGTTCTGTGGCGAGGCGTGCACAGGCCTCCGGCGTCACCGAAGGTCATGCATTTCGGGTTTTGCAATTTGCCGGTCTTGCATCTTTGGGATCTCAGCTGAGCAGCGGACCGTTTATGACGTGCAGGTGAAATCATCAGAGCCGCGGGAGCCCACAGCACAAAGCAAGGTCAAGCCCAAAGATCCCGAAAAGGCTTCTTGGCCGACAACCATTGCTGATTCACAAGGAATGCCAGGATGTCAGACGTTGCCACAAACTACTTCAAAGCTATTTCTTCGCGAATGCCTGTGCTTGATTCTTGGGATTCATGATTTCTAGTACTATTGCTGCTATCACTATTCCTGTTTCTACTCTATAATTCCCATATAACCCTTATATGACCCCTATAATCCCTGTAGTTTCCATTTTCTTTCCCATTATCCCAATTCTTTTGGGTAAAGAAGCAGAGACCTTGAGCTCATTGCGGAGGCGCGCAGCCCAAGTGAGCGTTCAAGCTACAGCGAGTCCAGCATGGACACGAAGAGGCCTTGAGGGAATATGGTTTAACCCACTGGGGGAATATTAGGAATATGTTGGAGTTACATTGGGATAAAGAAAAATAAGATGGACACTATTTGGGGTTTAGCGTCTAGGGAAGGGTTTTTGTGAGCTTTGTATCCACTTTGGAAGAGCTGCAGACTAAGCTGGGGACCAAGGGCCCTTGTCTGAAATTCATATTACGCGGGAAAATGTGGGGATTTACCAACGTGCATGCTGCTAAGGGTACCCGTGTTATCCTATGTTGGGCTCTTACCACAACACAGGAATTTAGGCCAAGTCCCATGTGATAAGCAACATATTTTTTGTGTGGTCGCCAAAGATCGGCTAAATCGCAGCGAAAGTTGCTGCGTTACCGAGTAAAGGAATCTGGGACAGCCCCCAGCTGGAATCCGTCATCAAAATGCAACTGATTAATTAGAACGAAGTGTATCATGCCAGGCCCAAAACAGTTGGAGCCCCAGATGTGTGGGTCCAGCTATGTGTGCAATATCCAAAGTGTTCGGAGTAACAGACTTAGCCTTGAGTTCGGCACAAGCTCAGTCATGCAAGCATGCACCAGCTCATGCCAAGGCCAAGCCCCAGAAGAAGGAGCAGCAAAACGAGCAGAAAGGGAGCGAACGCGAGGAAGCCTCACCCGCTTCTGAGGCCAAGAATCTAAGAATCTGCGACTGTCCTTGCAGCCTTGCAACACCTTGCAAAATCATTTCTTATGTGGTCCTGCCTCAGGCAGCGCAGCCTGCAGAGGCCGAGGCGAAACCGAAAGCCAAGGCAGGCAGAATGACTGTCGCGTGACAGCATGTGACAGCATGTCGACAGTGTAACCATTTCATAAACTCAATGATGGCATGCTGCTGGCAGCTGGTTGACAGCTTCAAGTTTCCGCAGGAGCGCAGCAACAGCAGCGGGAGCGAATCATCAGAGCAGAGCGGTGGCAGGTTCGACATTCGGGTTTCGGACTCTCAGGCCCGCCTTTGGAGCATCTCTGCAGGCCCCAGGAGGCCGAGCGTCCGCCCAGTCAGGCTCACCTGCTCTCCATTCCCGGAGTCTCAGTGCCCTGGTGCAAACCTGAAGGAGGCAAGCGAGCCCGAGAAGAGCGAGAAAGAGGAGGCTTTTTCAGAATGTGGCAGCAATTGCATTCTGCAAGCTTAGCTGTGTAACTAGTTTTGAATGTTTCGAGCTATTGTTGCTAATTGATGTCCTCTAGTTCATGTAAGGAATGATTTAGCATGTCAGGATGCACCTGAAGCAGAGGGAGCCGAGGGAGTGGAAGACAGTGTGCAGGAGGAGGAGGCCTGCGGTACGTAATGGTTGGATTGGTTGAGGGCAGGTCGACACTTGTTTCACGCCTGAAAGCATCCGACTCGCTGCCCCTGATCGGGGCCGGTGGCAGCCTGCTCCCTCCTGTCCAGAAGCCGCCTCCATGTCCTTCTTCTGCGGGTTCAATTTTGTTGCAGAAAATTGCGCGATGCCTTGTTGAACACCGGTATGTTGCCCCCGGTATGTTGCCCGAGCATGCGCAGAACCCACAGGAAACAGCTGCTCAAGATGCATTAGATGGCGTGCAGTGCACAACAAAGCCATGAACCATCATGAACCGACAGAGAGAGCTTGGTAAGGGTAATGTAGCTCGTCATAGTAGTCATCAGGCAACGTGAGGCCAAACCGCCATGCAATTTTTTTGTATCTGTTGTTTCCGCAGTTTGCATGGTTGGAAGGTTGGAACATTTTGGAAGGGATGTTGCGATTTGCTGGGAGACGTGTTTGTGCCAGGAGCCAGCGGAAGTCGAGGCCGAGGCCGGCGAGAACGCCGAAGCAACCGAGGCTGCCGAAGCCACTGAGGCCGGCGAGGCCGAGGCTGAGGCCGAGCCCGAGCCAGCGGAGGTGGAGCTTGCAGAGGCTAACGAGGCTAACGCAGAGGGCGAGACAGAGGAGGCAAAGGAGGCCAGCCTGGGATTGTCTGCATTCACCCGGGATCTTCTTGCAGTCTGAGTCGCATTTGGTGTGCTGTGGTGAGTGCAGCGCACGCTTGGCAGGACCACTAGGCCAGCGCTCCACCTAAATGCAGGTTTCGGCTCAAGAAGGGGGGTTGGAGTCAGGACACCGCTCACTGTTGAGCAGCAGTTTGGATCCCAGTCTGTGTGATGGAAGCTGGCAGTTGCGCAAGCTCCTATGTTCATGTCGGAAAGATCTTGTGTTACTGGAGGTACTTGGAGGGTCAGGGGGACTTAGTAACTGGGTTACTAATGGGGATAATTGGGGTTGCTATATGGGTTATAGAGGTGATTAACCGACTTACTAAGTCCCCCACAAGACCCTCCAAGTAGTTTGTTGATCTAAACGTGACACATCCTGAGCTCAGGTTCACACTCATGGCAGATGATGGTCTAGACCTCTCTCCAGGCAAAGGGCTTTTGGTTTCCGCACTGAAGGGAAAGCTGCACCCTGAATTACAGTGCTTGAATTTGCCCGTAACTTGGCCAGGCTTTCTTGCCGCAGCCAGGGAGCAGCTTGCAAAGCTCAAGGCATAGGACTGAGATGTTCGCCACACTCTCCAACGGTCTTTTGCGAAAGCTTTGCATCTGCACTGCCGAGTAATGCGCTTAGCCTGGAGAGGTGAAGAACACGTTCTTTGATGTGGTGGACTCTGACGATGAGGACTGCGATCTTTCGACATGATCCTAAGTAGGCACATGAGCTCCGCAGAGAATTCTGGAGGATGGAGATCTTCGCTTTGGTAGTGTGTACAGCTGCAACTTGGCATCACCATGGTTCGTTCGCTCGTTTGTGGATTCGACAGATGACAACTTTTTTGGGCTCAGCAGCCCAGCACCTGTTTATGTTTCTTTATGGGATCCCGAAAGCTTGCTACGTGCATCTACATGCATGCCTCACGGATTTGATTCTCTGAAAGTGCGCAAGTGGCTTTGCGCTCAGGCCCAGCGAAGGGCTCTGAGGAGGCGTTCGGTGATGCTCTCGACTCCTCTGATCTCTTTCCTTCAGGAGCAGCAACTTCAACTGTCAAAACAGCTGAACATGCCGCAATGCCTTGAGCTGTGAGGATATTTATATCATCTCAGAGTGCCACAGTGTGCCATGCCTCAGGATCGACCCTTCCTACGATGCCGCCTCCAAAACAAGTCCCGCCACCGCTTCCGAGGCACAGCTTTTACAGGTCCTGCGGTCCAAGACGTAAACAGAGAAGAGCGCCAAAAGCGCGATGGCCTTGCAGGATTCATCCAGGGCCAGAGCGACCCTGTCTGCTCACCAGCAGCCCCAAACACGGAAGTGGTGGGGGCCCTTGTGCAGGGTTCATTTGAACGGGACACGGACCACTGTGCCTGCTTGAAGTTGGCGTGTGTGCCCCTGAATTGAACTGTTCCGATCACAGATCGTACAGATATCTCGGCTTGGTACAATTCTTGCTGCACTGACCGTCACTAGCTTTTTTGTTGGTTGTTACTTGTGCTTCCAGCACGAGTCCGAGGCAAGGAGGACGAGACCTACACCAGTCCTTTTAAAGTAGGGCACTCAGCGAAAGTCTGCAGCTTTCTTGCGCCGCTCCTCGCTCAGAAAGCTGTACATGAGCAGAGAGATTTTTTCAGCCTTTGTAACCAGCCCGCACAGTACCATGCATGTCAACGTTTCATGGTAATGCCTGCCTACACGAGGTTGGGACAGCATGTGCTGATGGTATTGATTCTGATGACGAGGACGCTAGGAGGACCGTGGTGCAAGCAACGCGGAGGGTGTAACAGATCTCTGCAGATTCTGCAGCCGGTGCAATACCTTTGGATGCTTGAGTTGGGTGACTAGAGCAGGATCTGCTCTCCCCGCCCGCAGCGTGCAACGGACGTAACGGTCGGCCTTGAGGAGGAGAAGCTTCATTGTATCCAGAATGAAGACATAACCTGACAGCAGTAGCAGTCCGAAACTCAAGCCCGCCAGGAAGACCCGGCGTCCTCTTCACAGGCCCGGCCGCGGCCCAAAAAGGCCTGCAATGTTTGATGCGTGCAGAGACTGCCAATTGCTTTTGGTACCTTTTTTCTGGATGCCGGTACGGAAGTTGCCTCAAGGGCTGTGTTTTGGGTGCCAATCAAGCTGGTGGATAGCTGTCTCGACCAGGGCTTCCCGGCCTCGAAAACGTTCCCGGCCATTGAGCCCTTGGAGACACGCCGGCCGCAGAACTCGCTGGGTTCACAGGTGCACGGTCCGCGCCCCAGGGCCTGTGCAGGACAACCATGGCTCCGTGGCTCAAAGCTTTCAGGCACCGGCGGCTGCAAACCTTGCGCCTGGTTTTGGCGTCCGCAGGGCTGCGCTAACGGCGAGGATGGGCCATCTGCGACGCAGAGTGCTGTCACACATGTTGTCCACGATCCACCACCAAGCAGACCAAGCAGCCCAAGCAGCCTCAGCAACTCAACTGCTGAGCATAATATGTGTTGCGCTTGAAGATCTTTGCAGGAGTGTGGGCACTGCCACCTCTGTTCAGCTGCAGAGCTGAAGGCCCGGAAGAAGGCCCATTGCATGCTTGGTTCCAGTAGATTTTGCACGTTTGTTGAAATGAACAATTATGAACACGGTCCAAATTCAACACAGGCGAAGAAGACGGCATCTCAGCGGCTCAGGGCTGCTGCAGCAGCTGCAGCGCAGGCCAACCCGCGCTTGACGACTAGTCCAGCTTGGATTGTGGACCAGGATCCACTTAGCATTTGATCCGAGCAGTTGCTTCTATGAGTTTTCAGACTGAGATGCGATGGAGGCATCTCCGCAGGAGACAGCGCCTGCAGTGCCGGTCCTTTGCTAAGGTGCTCTTACACATGGTAGTTTACATAATCAGTGGGACCCTAATACAGAATTCTTACTATAGGGACCCCCCAAAAGGTACGCTTAATTTTACCCACACATCATTGCAGCTCACAGCAGTGCTTTGTGAGTCTTTGCGCAAGTTGCAAGCTTTGCGGCCTCAAGTGAGGTTGTCGCTGTCACTCCTGGGCCAATCATCGTGCCTGCAATACTGCTGCAGTGAAGTGGTGCTAGGCCCGTGGAGGTCCTAGCGGAAGGGTTTCTTCACACATGAGCCAAGCATGAAGGTTCTGAGTAAGTAACAGCATTAGGAACAGTACAGTACTGTAGCTGATTGTGGTGCTTCTTGTTGTTCTGGTTGTTGTATCTGCTGTTGCTGGTGCTGATGGTCGTTTTGTGCTGTGGTGTGGGTGAAGCATGGCACTGAGCCTACACAGAAGTTTTTTTTTGCTTTGTGAGCTCATGTGCAAAACCGTTCCTAGCTACAGGGCCTCTGTGGAACTCCTGGAATCAGAGTTTTAGATTGTTTGAGCACCCCCGAGACAGCGCTTTTTACGCAAGCTTTGAGTGTGATCCTGAGAATATGTATCAGCCAACTGTGGACAGTTCTCACCTGTCTTTGGGCTGTGCTTGACAATCATGGAGATTTCAATGCCTGGTCCCTAGTCAGCGTCGAATTTTTGATATGCGAGCCACAGATTAAGACAGATGCGATGCGTTATGTGTGAAAGATTGAAGTTGAGTATGATTCTTCAAAGAAAAGATTCCAAGCAGGAATGAACTCTTCTTTTTGTGGGACTTGTGGTTGCCAGCATCGCAAGTTGTTACGTTTGGTGCACACGATGCGACCAAGCGCTAAGATATACTGGGTCCTGCTGATTCCCGGTTATCTTGGAGAGCACGGGCTCGTTTTGAAGGTGCTGTGCCGATTTGAGCCTCCAGGGCATCCTGCTGTGACGGCAATACTGGAGCTTCTGAAAGTGCAGCGGTCCGCCCGTGGGCCCTGAGCTCGCACCAGATGATGGCTTCGATTTCCAAGTCTGGTGCAACGCCTCACAGAGGCTGTGGCTCGCACAAGCTTCCTAGACTCATTTGTGACCAGGCGGCTCCCCGTCGACTGGTGTCCTAAAGGCAGGATTCCATAGCCATCAAACCTTCCCGTTCTCATTTGTTATCTTTACGTGATGTCTGCAATGCACATTTGGCATGTTAGCCTTCCCACTCCCGGATTGGGAGAGCAAGGACGCCTCTGACTTAGTACACTCGTCGGCTGAAAGCCACCAGCAGGGGCAGAACAATTCTGAGGCAGTTCTTCCGAAGCGTTTTCAACAACGAATAGCATCTGCTGCCTCCACGATGGCCAGCAACACTTTTGTGTAACAGTCAACCAGATAGCAATGCTGGCGCTTGAGCGTGGGGCGGCGGATGGGAGCAAGTCACCTGGCGAATTCACCATACTCGGCAGCCCGCAAATGTAGTCCACACGTTTTCGGTGCAGCTAGGCAGCAATACAGCAGCTACTGTATTCCCATTGCAGCTTTGTTTTGAAGAAAGTATGTTTGCGTGCAGGGGGTTTGTGCACCAGTTCTGCGTGCTTTGCTGCCTTAGCTCCCAAGACACGTGGGCTCAGGGCGGCACTCAGGAATGGAAGATTGCATATGAGATTCAGACTGCAAGAAAAGCTATGCGTTCATTTTACAATCCGCATTGTAAAGCCCTCTAAAAGAAAATGTTGGTCAGCGCCAAATCTTCCTGTCGCACAAGCTAGCCTGCGCATGGGAGAGTGTAAAGATCCCTTGCGCCGTATGGCTTTTTGATGTAACCGTCGACGTCTGGCGCACCAGCTGCAAGAGCTAGGCAGGATAGGCATTCGCAGTTCAGTCTCAAGTCGGCTACGAGGCTATGACACCGGTTGTGCTGACGTTTCTCCGTGGCGGTCAGACAGCTGAAGTGGCACCTCCCAGCACTTGCTATCCAAAATGTATAGATTTCCAAAAACATCCTCATGTATTTACAGTCTATGGCCTACTGCAACAACATGCCATTTGTGGTTCCCCTTGCTGCTTATCTTATACGGCAGCGTTAATCTTCCTGTAGTAGCACCAAACCTGATGCATAGACCGCCTGGGCAGGTGCTTCTTTGTTGTGAATTTGTGCCTTCGTGCTTTCTGAGCCACCTGGCGGCGCAGATGTGCGCCACCCCTTGTCTAGCTAAAGACTTGTCTCTTTCAAGAAGACTTGATGGACCCTGCGTCTTTGACGCATAGACTTAGCTGGTGGCTTGGGAAGCTGGGCTGGAGGCTTTTACAGGTCTTCCACGTGCTCGCTGGAAGAATATCGATGTGGCTTCTTGGCCGAGCCAGTGTTTTCACATTTGTGGAACATGAAGCGATCGTGCATGGCTTATCCAACAGTCGGCCAGATGATTTCAGTCCTGGTCAGTCTAGCTTCTGTTGGTATAGCTCGGCACGCCCTGGCACCCTGGCAAGTAGTTGTCAGCCTCTGTTGCATCTTTCAGCAGATAGAGCATCAGTAGATAGCTTGGATGGAACGAGAGGGTGTTCCAGAAACAGATGCGAGCATGCCACCTGCACCTTAGCAGGTGTGTCCCAGAGAGAAGACACTCTCATCAAACCTCCGCCGCGGGCGTGAAAGCCGTGGTGATTTATGTTCGGTGGTAGATTACCGCTTTGCATGTTCAAGCGTGGGATCTCCATCTTTCAATCCCCACCAGATGGTGAGGTTTTTGAAGCATGTGGGCGTGCCTGAGGACAAGCAGGGAATGGGCACCCTGCCCTGGGTTTCCCAACTCTCACAACGGTTCATTACGTGAGTTTCCATTAGCTTTGAACACAAAGCAGTCCTGATCGAGCCTTTGCCATCCTCATCCGCGCCGGGGACGCTCAGCGAGTTCGGAAGGGTCTCAGCATCTTCCAGCAGACGTTCCTTCGGATTGTATAAGCCAATCGGACAGACTGAAGGAAGGCTCTCTTAAGTCGATTCTTGGTAGGGAATCTACGTCGCAAGATGTCGCAAGATTTGCTAGGGCAGTAAGAGACATGGCATTTGGTCGGCAAATCTGAAGAGCAAGGAGGGCCTTCCCGGTGCACAAACGTGCTGAGACTGCTCGCAGCGAAACTGCAGCCCAACACAACAGTCTGGAGCCCCATCAAGAATGGGAAGCCGCGTGACCCCGAGAGCTGGGTCTTGAAAATCGCAGCAGAATGCAGTTCTCTCACAAAGAGGAATCTGCCGTGTGGGTGCCTGATGGTAATCCCACAACAACAAAAAAGTCAGTTTATGTCTCACATCCGCATGGTGTGAGGCAAGTCAAATGCCATGATCCACACTGTCTGAGCCCGCAGCTTCATCCTTGACTTGTTGTGTCGCAAAGTGTGCGTGCGATTGTCTCTAGAGGTCAATTGCTGCTAGCATGCTTTACGATGCCCCATTTCCACTGCAATCGCCGTCTCTGCTATTCGTGGTGCGCTGCCGGGGCCAATCCGGCGTGCTCGCGAAGATGATCTCGCAGGGGTATAGATACTGTTTGCGAAATCCGGTTAGTGCTCCAAAGAGGGGTTCTGGGCAATGGCCTGAGTTCCCAGAATTCAGAATATACCTGTAGCTTGACCTCCTTTACACTGGCTAGGGTATGGTTCCAAACGTGACACTGAGATAGATAAAGATCTCCTCAATCATCGTCTTTACGCGCATGGGCCGAGGCGATTGCATAGACTTTTGGGACAGTTGAGCCAACGTCCTAAAGGGAAGCTGAGTTTCTGCGTCCGAGGAGAAGCCAGAGATGGGAAAGTCTTTGGGGATGTACGAGTAAGGAAATATCGATTTCCTGAGGCCATAGGAGTCTCTCGGATCATGGCAGCTTCCAGCATGCAGCTCGTGACGACCGTCACCAAGCATGCGCTTGCTTGCAAGTAGCTTTGCCCACAGGCTGCTTGTTTCGTACAGGGGCACTAAGAAATGGGCGTCAGCACTTTGCCATGCCAGGCACATGTTGTGAAGGCGCCGCAGTTTCCAGCAGCTTGTTTGCTTTACTCTTAATGCCAGGACGCCATGGATCTCGAGGCAGACCTGTTCGATGACCTCGACGACGAGAAACTCATGGCTGGATCCTAATCGATGTCAGATCAGCTTCCTGCTATCGTCACCGCTGTGCCTGCCATAGGCAAAGCTGCAGCAGGGCTTGATGAAGGCGCCCTCTCTTGCAGCCTTCGAGGATTGCTGTGGTACCTTGAGCGTCAGCTATTGCTTCATTCGTATACGTGCTGCCAGGTGGAGGAGACTGAAAGCACCAAAGATACCACACAGCCGGTGGAGCTTGTGGAGTGCATTAACCGAGTCAAGGTACCACCTGCTGTGAAATGACAGCAATACCCACAAGGATGCCAAGATTAGTTTCAGCTGCTAGACATAAACCGTGTAGGGCGCCAGCAGATCTTCATGCCCATGTGTCATACTCCTGGATCTGTGATATAGCAGACATGAGGCAGACATGAGTTCGCTGTATCACGTGCCTGGTATGTGTGTGAACGATCCTTGTTTTTGCAGGGAACTTGCCTTGGCCTCCGAGAAGAAAACAGTGAGGAGCTTCGCAACTCTGACATGGCCTTGCCCTCCGCTCCTTGAAATCCTGCAGTACAGTTCTTGGTAGACCCGTCTATAGGATCCCATGCCCGTCGCCTGTCAAAGCAATTGTTAAAAGAGTACTATGCTTTACTAATGTGAACATTTGGAGGAGAAGGTGGAGCACAAGCTGTGGCGGCCTCTATGCAGAGCATGAGATCTGATGTGTGGAGAGTTTGTCCCGAGCAATTCCTAGTACCAGATCTCTTGCTATGCACTACCTTGGACAAGTGGCCAGCGTACACCTCGGTCAGAGTGGTGCAACATGTTTCTTGCATCAGCAGGAAGTATTTGACAAGTGGGTGTGCGGGAGAAGCTAAAGACGTATATGGTCAGAATATGCATCCTACCATGAGAGCCCAGTCTTGAGGTTGTTTCCAGACGACCGTGCCCGCGGTGGACTGTTCACTGGCATGTATTGCACCTTGTTTGCATTGGTGAACTCAAATCATCTCAAATCACCAGCAACTGCTGTGCGGCACATGTAGACATAGGCTTAGCATCCTATATTTTAGAGTCGACGGCTAGCAAGAGCACGAGCATGTCAATGAATCGGTTGAGAGACGGAGTGTTTTTGAGGCATGCAGTGCGCCAAGATTGTGGAGTTCAGTTGGCAAGTTATTGCTGCCGCCTGATTCACCGCGGGTGATTGCGCTGCAAAGCCTTGCGAGCTATCTTGTGCTAACTGCGGATATTGCTGGGTCTTCCATTCGTTAATCTATATAGAAGATGTGGAAAGCCTAGTTAGACAAATAATGGGCTACTTTAATGCAAAATGATAAGAAGTTGATGGAAAATGGGGTATCATTATGTGTTGCCGCCTCCGGAGCGGTCTTCCGCATAATTTTTCTTCCTTTGGCTATCTGCGCGGCGGCTTGGGTGCCGCGTGTAGACCCGGGGCGGATATCGTAGTTTGGCTATTCTTGTCACGTGCGGTCTTATATCTGCATTGCTCATCGGTCTTCACGTGCGATCTTATATATTGATTCTTCATCGGGCTTCTCGTTGTGGGAGCTCTCAGATAATTTTTTTCCCGCGGTCCTTGCCTCCGGAGCAGTTTTGTGCGTGATTTTCTCTCTTTGGCTGTCGGCGCGACTACTCGGCGGAACGCATAGGCCCAGGACGGAGAACTAAATTTTTCGCGATATATAGAAAGCCGTATCTATCTACGGGGATATATGCGCTCCCCCGAGCCGCCGCGCAGATAGCCCAAGAAAGATAAATGAGGCGGAAAGACCGGGCTGGATGCGCGGGTCGCGCGACCCAAAATCTCCCGAGATTGCGATCAATTTCTCTCTCTTTGGCTGTCTGCGCGGCAGCTTTGTGCCGCGTATAGCCCCAGGGCGGAGATCCAAAATCTTTCAGAATCTATAGATAAGTGCGTGCGGTCCTATATTTTGATCGGTCATCGGCGTTCACGTGCGATCTTATATATTGATTCTTCCTCGGGCTTCTCGCTATGGGTATTCTCAAATGAATATTTTTTCTGCTGCGTAGGTAGCAGGTCATCTCTAGTACCTTAATATTACGGCGCGGCCACTTGCGGTCATTTCGCTCGCGCGCGGCCTAGGTTTTCCGCCTCACCTTTAAGATGCCTCCTGCGGGCTCCTCTAAAATCTCGGAGATTTTAGAACCTTTCGGAATAGCTAGAGGCTCTAAAATCTGCGAGATTTTTGGTGCGGGCGGCGCGACCAAAAATCTCGAAGATTGTTGGTCGCGCGGACCTTGCCGCCTCCGGAGCGGTTTTCCGTGTGATTTATCTCTCTTTGGCTGTCTGCGCGGCTGCTCGGCGGAGAGCATAGATCCAGGACGGAGAACCACAAATTTTCAGAATTTATAGATTGGCCGTATCCATCTACGGGGATATATGCGCTCTCCCGAGCCGCGCAGATAGCCCAAGAAAGATACATGAGGCGGAAAGACCGGGCTGGATGCGGGGGTCGCGCGACCCAAAATCTCCCGAGATTGCGATCAATTTCTCTCTCTTCGGCTATCCGCGCGGTGGCTCGGTGTAGACCCTGGACGGAGATCCAAAATCTTTCAGAATATATTAGGTCGGCCGTTCGTTTTTATCACATGCGGTCTTATATATTGATTATTCGTCGAGATTTACGTGCGATCTTATATATTCCGCGTGAGTTATCTCTCTTGATTGTCGGCGCGGTTATTCGGAGGAGCGCGTAGACCCGGACGGAGACTACATTTTTTCTAATTTATAGATTGACCGTATTTATTCACGGAGATTTATGCGCTCTCTCGAGCCGCCGCGCAGATAGCCCAAGAGAGATATATGAGGCGGGAAGATTGGGCTGGATGCAGGGGCCGCTCAAATTTTGATAGTTTAGCAGGCTTCACATACGAGTTTATATATTGCTTGATCATCGGATTTTCCGTTATAGATTTTCATGAATTAATATTTTTTACTGCCATAGGCAATCAATCAATTCTAATAATATATATTTCGATTTTTCTATTCATCGATTTATATATATCTGGGACAATAAGAATCTTCCCAATTATGAGCAAAAATTCTGGAAGAAGAGACTGAATATTTTTCAATAAATAGAATAAATGAAATGATACATAAATAGACATTTAAAAAAATGAAAATTTAAGTATTCAAATATAGGAAAGATTTTTCGGATATATATATATATGAGATTATATAAATTTATAATGATTATTATTAGATTTGATATTTTCGGATTTTCATATATAGATTATATTTATATTTTGAAAAAATATCGTTCTCGCTCGAGATGTCTTTAAAATTTTATGTATTAATTTTCATGAAAATTATGATTTTATACGGAATATTCGAGATATTTTGATACTTGATGAACGATTAAATCTTGATATATGATGATATGAAAATATTTATTTGAATTTTATACTAGTGATTATCATTCGAAATGATTCTCTTGATATAAGAGACAGATATTTCGAGGGATTTTTTGGATATGAGATCCTTATAGGATTCGTTAATATTTTCGGCCATATTCGGAAAATTTTGATTATTTCGAATTTGAATCCGGACATTTTATGATTATTGATATCTTCAATATAGTTTTCTTATTGATCGCGTGGCTTACGGGGGGGGGGAGATATTAGACGGCTTTCTGAGTTAATAATGCCGAGATCCTTATCTCTTTCTGAACGCAGCGGGAAATTTACAAAATTTATGTACGAACTTGGCTGGATCGAGGCACGGTCGCATCTCGCGGGATTCTCTGCGATCTGCTGAGATCGATATTTAGATTTACCGAGGAGACTCGAGCAGATGCTTTGCATGCTGAGGGCTTCTGCGGCGGATCGATCACGCTCGTGATCAGGAGAAAGGGAAGATTTTTGCGAGAAACGATCTTTTTCTTATTGATCAATTCCAAAAATCTTTGCGATTCAATCTTTGAATATTTATGGTTGCCTTTGAGGGCGCGGATTTTTTTTTTTCCCGGCTTCTGGTCGTTTGGGGCAGACGACCCAAAAATTGGGCGGTTCTGAACGGCGATTTGGAGAGATTGAAAGATATCTGCGAAATAGATATTCGCGGCTTATAGATAGAAGATTAAGAATCTATAGAAATTTTTGATTTTATAATCGATCCTATAAATGAATATTTAGATATCCTGCGGACTCAGATATTATAAGGCAAGGCTTTTCATACGTTCGATTTTTGAGAAATAGAATGGAAGGAATTTTTGAAGCTCGGAATTCCATTTGAGATGAATCCGTTATTATCATTCAAGACGATCAATTTATTCTATTGAAGAGGGAGATTATTTTGAGATATCGGATATTGATCAGAGAATGAGATCATGATTATGCGGTATCGTTATATCATTCTATCATTCTTTTTCGTCTATTTCATTTCAAGTACGATCTCTGGAGTATTTTCCGAAGGGTCCTGATGATCGTTCAAATTGGCGATATGCGATCAGGGATTGAGAGCTGCGATAGATTGGCAATAAATATCATGAATATTTATTTGGAGGATTCTTTTGGCGATGCGATCTAATGATCGGGATCTTGAGATCAAATATATGATTTATATATATTCATATATATATATCAAATTGAATTGATATCGATTTCGCCTTCGTATAATGAATTCATCATTTAATCACGGAATTTCATATTGAGGATCTGATATTTCTATATATATACAAATATTCATATTCGTATAATTCCTCGTATTCGTCTTCTCATCTCCTCTTCGAATATATCTCTGATTTCGGAGATTAAATGAGATATATAGATCTCTCCGATCCTTTATCTTATTTATATCCTGGAATATTATTGATTTATCTAAAAGATCGTCATATATCATAATAAATAGTAGAATATGAAAAGACTCATCATAGATAGATGATCCGATCCATAAGAGATGGAATCTATCTATCTATCTTTCTCTATTTTTGAATATCCTATTTTTTCGATATGAAGATCATAGATAAAGAAATTAGATTTCAATATAGATATATATTTCTATTATCTAATGATGAAGATAAGAATGAAATTCATGAACTAGAATATAATCGTCTTCATATTAAATTCTATTTTATTTTCTATTTTCTTCGGATAAGATATAATTATCATTATTAGAAAAGATTAGAGTTAAGATTATATTAAAAGATATTTCCGATATTTTTTTTTTATTTTCGAATCTCTTTTATATCTGAATCTATGATCGATTGATTATAAAATATATCTGCGCCTTCATCTATTTATGATTTCTTGCTATTCTTGATGAATATATTTGATAAATGAATTTGATATTTGAGAATATCTATAATAGGAAATCCGATTTAGAATCTTTCAATATGATTGTTGTCTGCAGATCGATCTTCGATATGATTTATTTCTCTTTGATTATTTGGACGATTGCTCGTTAGAGCGCATAGATCCGGGCATGGAGATTAAAAATTTTTCAGAAATCATAGATTGACCGTATATAGCTACGGAGATTTATACGTTGTCTCAGGCTGACGAATAATCAATATATAATATGAAATAGGATAAAGATGATCAATCTATAGAATCTGAAAGATTTCAGATTTCCGTCTCGGATTTATAATTTCCTCCATCCCGCCGCGGAGATAATCAAAGAAAGATAAATCTTTTTAAATCTCGAGAGATTTTTGATTGCGCTTTCCCGTCATCCAATCCGATTTATCTCGATCATTTGCCGTCTCATTTATCTCTTTTAGACTTGCGCGGCGATCTGAGACAACGTATAAATCTCCATAGTTATATACGATCAATCTATGATTTCTGAAAAATTTTTAATCTCCATGCCCGGATCTATGCGCTCTAACGAGCAATCGTTCAAATAATCAAAGAGAAATAAATCATATCGAAGATCGATCTGCAGACAACAATCATATTGAAAGATTCTAAATCTCTATCTCGGACCTATATATTCTTTCAAAATGCCGCGCAAATAATCAAAGAGAGAGATTCGAAATCTCAAGAGATTTTAGATTATACAATTCCGAATCCGACCCGAATAGATATATAAATTCTGAGAGATTTTAGATCTCTATCTCGGAGCTCTATATTCTCCCGAATAGCCGCGCAGATAGCTACAGAAAAATGAATCCCATAGAAGATTGCTTCGGAATCGAAGATCATACGA